ACTAGTCTCCCTTTATTTATTTATCAGCACAAATGCAACATACATACATACATACATACATACATACATACATACATACATGTGTGTGTATGCGTATGTGTGTGTAAATCTTTGGAAATAGATAAATAGAGATAGAGACAGAGATATATAGACACACAAATACATACCTCAAGGCTTATACTACCCATTCCAGGAATCCCAGCATGACGAGGCAGTACCTATAGATATGCAAGATTAAGAATAGTTTATGAGACCAGAGATGAAACTGTTTTAAAGAATATGAATAATATTACTGAGAACTGCTGTGGTGGGCTGGGTGATGACATGATGACCTCATTGGAGGATTTGTGTATGACATTGAATATGATTTCTTCTTTGTTATTCTTCCTCCTCCTTGGTTAGTGGAGGAAACCGCTGTCATATTTCAGTAATCTAGAGTAATTTGTGGAGTACAAAAAGCAAAAGCTGGCACTCCACTGACTCGGTTTAAATTACCAAATGTCAAGATGAACTCTGGATTTTTAAAGTATAGGACTTCAGGTTTCCATCACTGGGATGAAATATTTTAGACTAAAGCAGTGGGTCTCAATCTTCCTAATGCCGTGACCCTTTAATACAGTTCCTCATGTTGTGGTGACCCCCAACCATAAAAATTATTTTATGTTTTCCATATTTTTTTTGAAAATATGTGTTTTCCGATGGTCTTAGGCGACCCCTGTGAAAGGGTCATTCGATACCCCCCAAAGAGGTCCCGACCCACAGGTTGAGAACCACTGGACTAGAAATTCCCCAGCCTTCTCTGTGGATCTTTAATTAAAACAATTAGGAAGGTAAAGCAGATTTTACACATCGAAAACAATGGATGAAAATTTCAAATAAACTATTCTGAAGTAGAATGGTTGTTCAAAATTCCCCATTACAGGAAATACAAAAACCATAATTAATGCTAGAAGTTCAAAGGAGCAGGATATTGCCGTAAAGTGCCTTTTAATACAGTTTTTAAAAACAATGGTTATAAACTGTAATTTTGATATGAAAAACAACAACACCAAAGCTAAGATTTGGGAACTATATTTGGAGATTAGTAGATTGGATATTTTTTTAAAAATGATCTCCTAGCACAGTATTTCTCAACCATGGCAATTTTATGAGATGAGGATTTCAACTCCCAGAATTCCCCAGCCAGCATGCTGACTAGGGAATTCTGGGAGTTCACACATTTTAAAGTTGTCAAAGTTGAGAAACACAATTTTGTACAAAATGGTTGACCACATAATATATTTCTGGTTTTTTTTTTAAGAAACTGATTCATTTTAATTTATTCTGTATAAGTAATTGTTTCAGATAAAGTTGTAAGAATTACCGGCAAAGCAGAACATGTTCCTAAAAGGCATAAGACAAATGTCCATTGTTTCATAATTGGAATGTAGCCCAAAGGACTAGAAGGATCTGTAGAAGGTGATAAAATCCTGTATGGAGAAAAAAAAGACAAGATATATAATGAAACAGCAAAATCACCAATATACAAACATCCTATTATTATTTATCCCATTCTGACTGCTAGTTTGATAGTAGGATGGATGATGATTTTGTCCCATCAACTATTCTTCCACATTAAAAGTATTAACTGCACGAATAATTCTGTCACATTAAAAATTGCAGTTGAATGGCAAGTTCAGGGTAGCTCAGTTAGTGCATTTCTGATGTCCATCAAAAATATTTTAAGTATTTAGTGGAGGGCAAGTGCCCTGGATAGAAAAAAGCAATGTTCGCAGTAGGTCAGTTTTAATATTCACAGCCATCAGTTATATTAGCTTCTCATCATCTTAACAACAACCTTAGAAGATGAAGCAGGATTATTATGTCCCATAATGTTACTGAGGGACATTGGACCTAAGAAAGCAGGTCCTCTACAGAGGAAGATTTGTCTTTGTAGTCACCTCAATTCCGGTGATAAAATGATTGCCATGACCTTAAGAAGAAAAACAATTAAACCAGGACAGGCATGCTCTGGGCATGCTTCCTTCCAACACTGATGCAAACACACCAGGCCTTTAGGAAAGTCTTCCAAAGTGTCCTTCACTCACTGCCAGAAAGTGATTGGAGGTGGCAGAGAAGGGAGTGGCAAGTCACACAGTGACCACACAGTTGCCTGTTGACCTTAGTGCAATCACAACCATGGATCTGTATTGTGCAAATGAAGCAATTTCTTAGGATGTGCCTTTGAACTTAATTTTTATTGATTTGTATCCCCTTATCCCTGACTTGGGCTGAGAGAGTGACTGGCCCAAAGTCACCCAGTTGGCTTTCATGGCAAAGGTAGGACTTGAACTCAGGTCTCCAGCTTTCTATCCTGGTGTCTTAACCACTAGACCAAACCGGCCTTCTTAATGATTTCTTCCTCAAAGCTGAGTGCCAAATGTTATCCACCAGTCCTTAAGCTGGTAGAAAATTAGACCAGCGTAACATTGGCTGCTCTACAGGCAATCACTGCCCTCCACAACCACAGTGCTGGCATATTATGCTATCCTTATCTCATGCAGTATTGTCCAGACATTAATTTACTAATGTTGCATAATCTAATACTCTTATTGTAGGGCAATAGGTGTAGGGCATACTTACAGGTAGTCCTCGACTTATGACCACAATTGAGCCCAGAATTTATTTTGCTATATGAGAAATTTGTTTAATGAATTTTGCCCCATTTTACAACTTTTCTTGCCACATTTGTTAAGGGAATCACTGCAGTTGTTAAATTAGTAATATTTATTTATTTGTTATTTATTAAGTTTCTATTGCCGCCAATTCACCCATAGCAAGGCGGCTTACATAATTTAAAACCACAGTAAAAGAACAACAAAACTAATAAAAAAATCAGATAAATTAACATAATAAAATCACCCCCACCTCCCAAGCGATAGCATATCGCACGAGCCATGATTGTTAAGTTAATCTGGCTCCCCCATTGACTTTGTGTGTCAGAACGTCACAAATATTGATCACATGATCCTGGGAGACTGCAACCAGTTGCAAAGCATCTGAATGTAACTCATGCGACTTGGGACATGCTGCAACTGTCATAAGTGTGAAAAATTGTCACTTTTTTCATTGCTGTTGTAACTTTGAACAGTCACTAAATGAACAGTTGTAAGTCGAGGACTACCTGTAGTGGATTCCCCAACCTTCTTTCCCTCTACTCACTCTTCCAGCACAGGTTTACCCAATTGTGAAAACCTGGTCTGATTTTGCAGATGTTTCGTGTGTAGACTTGTTTAAAGGAAGATTGACAATCAGCTGATAATAAATGTCTTTTTGGACATGGCTTAGCTCTATGTTGGGATAGTTTTAGTCTGAAATAACGCTAAGTGTGCATTTTGATAACAGCTGAAACAATAAGTCAGTAGATGTTTAGTCTGTCTCAGATCTCAAAGCTTAAAAATTGCTCAGAGACTTGTAAGTAGCAAGGAAGAGAGAAGCCGATGGAAATAACAGGTATACCGTCTCCTGCTTGAGCAGGGGGTTGGACTAGAAGACCTCCAAAGTCCCTTTTAACTCCATTATTCTGTATTCCATTCTGTCTGTAAATAGACACTTCTACTGCCCAAGGTGGAATCATTCAGGAGCCATTGCCTGGCACTACTGGTATTTGGACTGTATCAGCACTAGCCTAAAGTACATGATGGGCTAATCCAAACACACACAAAAAGTCATCTCATTGTATCATTAGCAGAATCATAACAGATTGTATCTGAAGCAAAATCTGTGTCAGAGTAAGGAGGAAAGCACTAGTTTAACAATGAAACAGGAATACAGTGTATCTTTAAGATGGCCTCAAGTATGGTTCTGGACAGAGGTGGGTCTCACATTTTATTACCATTGGTTCATCTCACGCGCACCCACCCACTTTGCAGGTGCACATGCCTTCCGCGCATGCACCCAGCCTTCCATGCATGCGCTTTGCTCATGCACACGCCTTCCTTACATACGCCTGACTTCAAAACATGCCTAAATAGGATAGCATATAGCCGGGGTGGATGGGCAGGCCCACTCGGGATTTCCATTACCGGTTCGGGTGAGAACTGGTCCGAACTGGCTGAATACCACCTCTGGTTCTGGAGTTTAATGAATGCAGGAAGATTCGGCATGAAAAGAACTGGTGTAGGTGAATGCAAGGAAAAGCTCTTTAAATGATAATGTGCATGACTTAACTTCAAAATGAGACGTGGCATTTCTATTAAAACTAGTGGCACCATTCCTTCCATAATGGATGGTCACCTCTATTAGCAAGCATGGTGATTTTCCTTTCTTTTCCCCACCAACAGACAACTGTCACTGCTTCTGCTGAGCTTATTGCCTCCGTACAATTCAGTTATGCTGTAAAAAATAATTCTTGTTCATTTTCCAGGCCTTTTAACACAGATAATGAACTTCAAGATACAGACATGTTATTTTGGATAAAATCAACCTGATCGTGCCATGTTCATCCTGTACCTAGGATTTCTTTTCTTTTCTGCCTTGTAGCAGTGTCTCTCAGACATTATTAAGCTAGCAGCAAAAAGAAAAAAAATGTTTTGAGTTTCACAAGCTGCAAATATAAAAAACAATAATAACAACAATTATGCCTACCATTTGCAGTGATCCAGACGACTGCAAGGTTTTTTCATATGAATGAATTAATCTAACCAAACCAAAATCTCCCATGTAAAATTGCAATGTTTCACTATTTGGAGGGCTTCCAGACAAAGCCAAATTATCCCTAAATTCACTCACAGCAGAAGCAAAGAATTTGGCAATTCTTTGTATACTGTTGGACTTCAATCTAGCAAGCTTTCTTGTGGATCACATTTCAGTAATCATGATAATCTTTGCAGCAAACAATAGAGTTATTTGGGACTCCTTTAAGATCAACATACAAACTGATGCTTTGTCATAGATCCCTGGGTTGTTTCTGTACATTTTTAACTTGTGGCAGCCGAAAATTATGGAAGTGCCGTGTTTTCAATTGCTGCAGTGAGGAGAAGAAAGGAAATATCCTTGTTTCTGAGAGGTTTTAAAGAGGTAGAAGCCCACCAGTGACAAGATTGTAAAACCAAGCTTGTCCAACGCAGAATATTGAAATAAATTTTACCTTCAAAGTGTCTGGAAATTTCCTCCCAATACTTGCTGAGCAATTCAAGAAATCTTCACAAAATAAAGCTTTCACAGGCACAAGAGCTTCTTTCTCCCATTCTAGAATATAAACCTGATTGAAAAGACTGGTTAGCCAATCAAATCAAGGAAGAGGGCAAGAGAATTACATACTTCTCACTTTATCCCACCCATTCTTTCTGTGTCTCACAAAACCTGTAGCTGTAACATCTTATTATTTATAATTGGATTCTTAGGCCTGTATTTAAAGGAAGTATTTTCTACCAGATAAAACATGAGCATCAGAACAGAATGTGCAACAAAACAACAGGGTGATAGTCTGTTTATGACACCATGTCTCAAGATAGTCCTCTACCTGCTGACAAAGGTGGTACATTTTTCATAAATCCCTAAAAGGCTAGAATTTCACATGTAGGCGCCCAGCATCTCTAGAAGAATTAGCCAGTAAAATAACTGCCTGTTATGTCATGGTTCAGTAACAGAATTTGTGCCAGAAGAAATATGAATGAGGGGTAGTCCTGTGGCTCTGAAGGCAGCAATAGTGTACCCCCTCCTCAACTATCATTAGTTATAGCAACGTTAAACAATTTCTGATCAGTCTCCAGTCTGGTGGTCGGGTTTCAGAGATTCCTGAAAAAAGTCTATATCCCTGTGATGGCGAACATATGGCATGTGTCCCACAGGTGGCACACGGAGCCATTTCTGAGGGCATGGGAGGTGTTGCCATCTCAGCTCCAACACGCATGTGCACACTGGCCAGATGATTTTTGGCCTTGATTTTCAGACATTTTTCACCCTCTGGAAGTGAAAAACCGTCCAATGCGAAAACCGGAAGTTCGGGAACAGACTAGAAAGTGTCAGAAGCCTGGAACTTGGAAAATGGGCCATTTCTGGCCTCCAGAGGGTCTCCGGGCAGAGAGGAAGGCCATTTTTGCCCTCTTCAAGCTCCTAGAAAGTCTCTGGAGCCTGGGGAAGGCAAAAAATGGACCTATTGGGCC